CAAGACAGTGATGATAGTCTGTCATTGTTTACATAGATGATTTCTAAGGAACGATAAACGTGTATGAATGAAAAGATGCTGCCTAAATACACACAATTTATACTTATAAATACTCTTATATTAATATTAGAATATGTGCAAGTAATATATATAAATATAGCGAAGTAGGTGGACAGTAGTTTGTGATGCATTTCAAGAAATTAATACACAAAGTTGCATGTGCAAAAACGTTTGTTGAAATGTGGAAGGTTAACTTCAAAGTTTTGCAAATTGTGATGGACAGCAGTTTGAACACCTGTGTTGATAAAATTTTTCGTGTATCTGTAATAATTCTTTATCAAAATTTCATTGTATTGATAAGTAATCTCAAAATGTTATTCATTTACCGACCACCTACTTTTGGTTCACCCTGTATATTAGCATTACATAAAGCAAGTGTGTATAAATTTTTTACACATATTTAGATACATATATAAGCAGATGTAAATATATGATTATGTTCTTATTACTGAATATATAAGTATGTATACAAATAACATAACTTAGCATATATCTTTTTCTACACACACACACACACGTTTGTGTGTGCAAGTTCTGCTCTAATGATTTATTGATATTTTGTTCTTTAAATTCAAAACTTATTTTGACATATAACAGTAACACCTAGCATGTACAAATACTGTATATATATATATATATATATATATATATATATATATATATAAATGGGTGTGCATAAAAATTCAGATATAAATAAAATATATTGGTAAAAAAAGGGCAATGTCTTTATTCACACACACACATACATATATACACTATGCATGTATATACTGTTACATTTAGAACATGTAATTTTACATGTTCTAATGTAACAGTGTATAATAAATATTTATTGCTCTACTTTTGTATTGAGTCCTGTTTTAAATTAATGTTTTGAATGTTGTAATTGTATTCTTCGATCTTTTACATTTTGTGTATATGAGAGAGAGATTCTTCCCCAAATCATTATTTTATTCCTTACACTTTGGGAATTGACTCCTGTCAAAAACTTTTAAGTCAGACTCGTGTATACATACTCCCATCCCGTCCAGTTTATAAATATATCCAGTGTGGACAGAGAAATCAACTGCATGGTGACTATCAGTATAGGCCTCCAGCGATTTTCAAATCATACAGTGTTGATTTCGATATCTATATACACACACAAACGAAAGAAAATATTCACGTATTCCTATAATAATGCTAGTTTTACTAGAACGTAATCACATGTCAGTCAAATTTACAACATGGAGACATCACAGGTGGCAGAAAGAACTTATGGTTACGAAAAAGAAAAATCAAATAAATTATATTTCACTGAATTTACCTCACCTGTACTTAAATTAATTTCTTTTTTTTATGTCTCATTAATTTTGTGTTTCTCCTGAATAACCCGATCTATAAATAGTTTAAATTTCCTTCCTTTTCTTTTATCTTTCTCAAAGCGTTTACTTTTATTTTTTCTTTGATGATCACTGTTCAGTGTTCATTATGATTTGATTCAATTCTTGTCATTTGTTTATTTACTAAAATATTTAAAGATGTAATTTTAATGAGTTTGGAAGTTTATTAATTTTAATTACCTCGTTTTTTTTTTCATTTTTGCTGGAACATTTCGATCGGAATATTCTCCGCCGGCTCCGGTCACCATGAATTGATATTTTGTTGATGTGTGAGACATCAATAGTTTCTAAAAAATTAATCACAGTTGAATATAAATTTTAAATATTAATCACTGTAAGTACTTTGCTAGCTATTGGAAATTCTCCTTAGACAAGCCCAGGGTTCGATGGAAACTTATTCTCTTCATAGAAAGAAAATGACTTGGTATAGTCATTCCGTATTTGCTAATGAGACTAGAACGATTATATATATATATATATATATATATATATATATATATATATATATATATATAACGTATAAACAGAAAATTATATGTAAATATATATATATATGTGTATGTATATATATATATATATATATATATATATATATAATATATATATATATATATATAATATATATAATATAACGTATAAACAGAAAATTATATATATATATATATATATGTATATATATGTATATATATATATATATATATATATAACGTATAAACAGAAAATTATATGTATGTATATATATATATTTATGTATATATATATATATATATATATATATATATATATATATATAATATATATATATATATATAATGTATATATATATATAAATAGAAAAATTATATATATGTATATATATATATATATATATATAACGTATAAACAGAAAATTATATGTATGTATATATATATATATATATAACGTATAAATGTATATATAAAATTATATATAACAGTATATATATATATATATATATATATATTACGTATAAACAGAAAATTATATGAATGTATATATATATATATATATATATATAACGTATAAACAAAAATTTACGTATATATATATATATGTATATATATATATATAACGTATAAACAAAAAATTATATATATATATAAAACGTATAAACAGAAAATTTTATATATATATATATATATATATATAAAACTTATAAACAGAAAATTATATATATATATAAAACTTATAAACAGAAAAATTATATATATATATATATATAAAACGTATAAACAGAAAATTATATTTATATATATATTATATAACGTATAAACAGAAAATTTTATATATATATATATATATATATATATAAAATATAAACAGAAGATTATATATATACATATACATATATACATACTGTTTATACGTTATTTTTGTAGTTACAATTTGTATAAGTAAAAGCTCTGTTTTTAATTAAACAATATTAATTACATTTACCGGCCTGAATGTTTGAAAAATTTCGAAGAAAATATGCTTTCTCCGACAGGAATCGAACCTGTTTTCCTATACGGAAACCGTCATTTGATCAGACGTGCAATACAATTTAGCTACAGAGAAGCATCTGCTTAGGAAAGTTCAAATTACTCTTCCACGATTTTTCTCAATCGATCATATATCTCTGTAGCTAAATGGTATAGAACGTTATATATATATATATATATATATATATATATATATATATATATATATATATATATATATCAGAATATCTCCATTAAAGCATGTTTCATTAATATAGACATGATGTCAATATTTTGTTAACCCAATCACTTTCGATCTCCTCCGAGATTATCCTCAAAGGTGAATTACTTGTGAATTACGATGACAAACTTAATGTAACTATATAGTCGTATAGTAGCAATGTTTTAAAATGCATCTGACTTGACTAACATTTAACACCATTTTGAAATTTATTATTTTGCAATTTTATCATCTCTGGTTATCACCCTTGGACTGGGAACGCTTGTTTACAAAAACATCGTAACCACAACGGTTAATTTTAAAATAATTATAGCAGAGCGCGTTCGCGCGTGTTTGAAAAATCACTATCAAAACGAGTAGAATTACATTAATTTTGTCTTTGCAATTGACCCCTGTGGATGATCTCTGAGGAGATCGAAAATATTTGGATTAACAAAGAATAGAGCGTCTTCCTTAATAAATTTCAACTCAACATCAAAAAGATAATTAGATAATTAGAAAGGATTATTATAAAAATAAATAGACATAATATGTCTATATTATTTCATGAAACATATGACAAAAATATAGTTTTAAGGTATGCTATATTTGTAGATTAAATTGTTCAATATCAGGGATAGAACGTATGTAAATTAAATATAAATGTTTACATTGATGTAAACAGTCAGTGGTGACAGTCTGTTTCATGCTTAAAAGCAATATTTAGGCCATATATATATATATATATATATATATATATATATATATATATATATATATATATATATATTGTATACTTCGATGGCAACTGAATGTGCTGTACAAAGGAAAATCTTATATTCAGTTTTTCTAAATACTTAAAATTTTCCTTGTTTTGGGGACGAAAGAGTGTAGAAATTGTTCATAGTTATTATATATATATATATATATATATATATATATATATATATATATATATATATATATATATATATATATATATATATATATATATATATATATATATATATATATATATATATATATATAACCCAGGATTACAAACTTACACCCAAACAACTAAGTATATTAACTCTGTCACTGATATTGAGCGCTTTCCAACAACTACCGCACATATGAGTTTGTCTGACGAGCGCAAAAAGCGTGAAACCCAGGGTGACAAACTCACATCAATCAACCAAATATGTTAGCTCTATCTCTGATATTGAGCGCTTTCTAATAAGTACCCGCATATAATATATAAATAATAATATATATATTAAATATATATATATATATATATATATATATATATATATATATATATATATATATATACACACTTTTCACATATATATACATCATATATATTGTACACACACACACACACACACACACACACATATATATATATATATATACATACATATTGTACACACACATACATACATATATATATATATATATAATTGTGTGTTTACATCTTGTTTGCTAAATGATCCATATTCATCGACATCTCTGTCTTATAGAAATTATTATCCATTTTCCTTAAAATTGCATATTTTAATATTTTTAAATTTTTAAAGGGTAATACGTGGGGAAATTTTTCAAATTAAATTCCTCGTAATCATTTATGCATTACACGTTAATATATATATATATATATATATATATATATATATATATATATATATATATAATGATTCCCTATTAATTTTTATGCCATTTTGTATTGATTTCTGAAAACCAGGCATTCAAAAGCAGCTATAAGAGACCCAAGAATAAGACCAAGAACCAACATAATAAGAGTCCCTGAAAAACCACCCAGTGTAACTGTGTAGAAAGACTCCCTCGCCGGTCTGGACAGCTCATTATCAAAATTAGAACACTGATCTTTCCACCAGTGGATTTTGAGTGAATGAAGTCGCCCATCCTCCCTCATTTCCAGAATACCCTGGTTTATAGCTGTGGCCAACTTCAAACCCGGTCTGAAAGCGAGGGAGTAAAACCTTTGCGATGCAATCATATCATCGATCAAGACTAAATCACACGGTTTCTGATGGGCTAAATACTTTCCCATCATTGATTCAACAATCAAAGCGTAAGGCCTGGCGTATGATTTTCTTATTTCGGATAAACCCTGTTTAATGGTAACATGGAAAGCGTTTCGATGTTTGACGTCAGTGTAGATGTGTTTGAAGGCTGGTACTTTGCTGTTCTGAAAGAACATCTGGGTTGCACCACCTTCCAGCATGCCATACTCAATAGAGTTTTGAGCAGACAGTTCTTTCAGGTCTGACACATCGAGTTTGCTCCAGAAGACATCCCATTGTGACATAATCCGAAGATAATTTGTCAGACTGGCTGTGTAGGTCATCAGGAATAAGGCACAGAACAACCACCAAGTAAAAACGACGACGCGACCTCCAACGGAACGGGGAGTTCTCTCAAAACCTGTTGTGAAAAAAGCAAAGTGTGTGCGTATGAGTAAAAGACTGATATAAGAAAAAAGAATCCCAAAATTTAATCAAAATCCTTCTGGTATCAGTTTAAAGTGACGCCTTTTTTTCCTTTTAGCCAAATTATAATTATAGGCTAAAATTTTGGAAAATTAAAATTTCAGTGAACTATGTTAGAAAATTTCATCTGAATTCAAGAAATTACGAACTTTAAAATAGTCACAATAAATGGAAAATGGCGTTACTTTTAATTGAGGCTTCTTAACTTCGGTTCATGGACCCCTTAGTGAGGATGGGGTTTTCAAGGGGTCCGTGAGGATCCGATAAAAATTGACATTTATATTCGCTATATAGCTCTTGTCCCAACCAATGGTTTCCCACTGAAAGAAATAAAGAAAACGCACCCAGCCTCTAATTACAGTGCCGACTGATAGGCGTTTCTTGACTTACTGTTGGGTCTATGTTTACCATTTAAACGTGCGTCATCATTCTCTACAAGGTCACCATCTTTTGCAATTCCATTAGAGCAAGTAGTAATTCTCATTTTCCATGGTTTATTACGGTTTGATTATCTTCTTATACACCGGTGACCATAATTTCTTTCAAGCGTGGCTGGTTGATAAGTGATATGTGTGTAGTGTGCATGAAGGTGCAGTATGGAGAAATGGATGCACAAGTGTCGTGAAGAACCAATCAGACTGTGAGTATCTGCTTGTCTATCTGTCTATGAAATAGTCCTTCAAAGAATCCGTGACTAAAGGGGTCCATGAAAAAGAGGTTAAGATCCGCCGCTTTAAACTGATGCCAGGAGAAGAATATAAGTTAAGTAAGGAAAATTTTTAAGCATACAGAAATTCATTGTTCAAGCATTGTACTATGACGTAACTCAAGAACTTATGGTAAAATTATTTGATTTACTTTTGTAGGTTGGTGTCCATAGCACAGGGAAAAGGTACATTTTACCAAGATTTTTTCTTAGGACTTTGTTTAACTTACCTTCCTCTTTCTTAAAGACTATGCCCCACATTTGACCGGTCATGTAACTCTTAACGGTCAGTGACGCGCAATATGTACAGAAGATATTTCTCGCACGGTTGCCGTGAGGAGAAGATGCTTGCCTGGCACGTGGATAAAAAAATAGAGACCCTCTCAACATGACGTGCTGGACTTCTAAGTAAAAACAGACTTTTGTAACATCCACTATCTTTCCTTGAAGAGAATGTATGTACCACCTTTCTACACTTGTTAGCAGGTTCTCTTTCTATAGAATAAAACTTACGCTCTTCCGATATCTCCGTAGTCGTTCCTTATATTTTATTATAAATGTTTGGGTAAATATCTCTACTTACGGCAGATACTACTGAGGCTTCCCACATATACTTGGAATAACCAACAGGATCATACCGTTAAAATGCTCAAACTTCAAACACAAATCAATTTCTAGTTCTAGTAACTTTTTCTCTCTATTAATCATCCGAGAAACTCCTTTCTGCCTTCCATCAGTATGGCTGATGCTAACCTCCGCGAGAGTGACTCGTTTTACCTTCTCGGGTTAACATTATCGGCTGAAATGAAGTAGAAAGACTATATTTACTCAATTGCTAGGTCAGCTGTTAAGAAAGTTGGTTCATTGTGTCGTGCTAGACAATTTTTCTCTCCAGAATCTATCTTACGTATCTATAAGTCTACTATACACCCATGCTTAAAATATGGCTGATGCTAACCCCCAGAAGAGTGACTCATTGCGCCGTCACGAGCTAATGTTTTCCGCTGACATGAAGTGGAAAGACTATATTGAATCAATTGCTAAGTCTGCAGCTAAGAAATTTGGTTCACTGGGTCCTGCCAAACAATTTTTCTCTCCAGAATCTATTTTACATATCTATAAGTCTGTCATTCGCCCATGCTTAGAATATTGCTGCCACATAAGGCCCAGTGTTCCTGCTAATTATTTAGAGATTCTTGATAAAATCCAAAGAATAATCAGCAATATTATTGGTCCTGACCTGGCGTCTCGGCTTCAGTCACTTTCCCATCGCCGAAAAGTTGTTCACTTTGCATTTTCTATAAATATTATCATGGTAATTGTTCGGACGGGTTCTACGCTATGGTACCTGGATTTTATTAATTTAAGCGCAGTTCTAGATTGGTAACAAAGTCGCATCAATTTATAGTTGAATTGGCTAGATGTAACCGTAAGTTCTATGCTTACAGATACTTTTCTCGCACTTCTCGCTTGTGGAATTGCCCTCTGTTTCCATGTTTTCCGGCCAATTTTGATCTTCAAACATTTAAATGCAATGTCAACCGTTATCTACTGTTTTCCTGGTTGCTCTTCTATTGTTCTCGCTCCTTCTTAATGTTTTCTGTCCGATTAAAAAAATAGTGTAATGTTTGCTATGGACAAACTAGCAAAATACTCTTTACAGGTATGACAACAATAATTAAAAATAGATGAATCTGTACAACAGAAACAAACACGATTTAACTCACCTTGCCATGTGAGACTGCCGGCAATAAACCAGAAAGCGTTCATGCAAGTAAATGATTCTCGTTCTCTGTCGCTGGCCTGGTTGTTCATCGCCATTTTGCGCCATTCGATCGGACTGAAATAACAGATGATGTAGAGAACGGTACCTGTAGCCATGATGCCAATCAGAGATAACAGCCAAACACTAGACGACATTGGAGCAAAAAGACGAAGCAGACGACCAGCAAAATCGGGCGTGTCGTTTGGTGGTTTGCGCATTAGAATGGCAGGTCCGGTACTCTGGAAAGGCATGGAGAATTGAACTACAGCTTGTCTTTCGGACGTGACAGTCAACGGAGCGGCAGCTATGTCTGCAGTCTGAAAAATAAAAAAAATATAGAAAGGAATGACCCATTTTTTTCCATTTTTGTTTAACTATTAATTGGAAAATTGTTGTAAATAAATAAATAAAAAACATCAGACAGTTATGTACCAAACGTGATACACATGTAAGCGATGATGTATCTTTTGATACATGACTGACGAGGCAGATTTTTTCTCGCAGTAGGTTGCCATTTCTCTCTGCGATAGACCATTTGCCATCCAAGGCTATAGAACCCGGTCTGTCTTGCTATTTACCCATAGCTGGGTGGGGGGTTGGTTGAAGAAGAGGATTCATAGCACGTAAGTGAATGTAATGGATTCGACTGGAGTTCGAACTCGGCTCTCCGATTCCTCAATTCTAGCCGCTATCCATTACTCTACCGTACCTCCTCAATAAAAAAAAAATAAAAAAAACATAGACAGGCAAAAAACAAAGAAACATTTTTTTTCTGATAAACTCTCGATTAAATAAATCGCAAAATTGATGAAATCGTTTATATTCGATCGTCTCTAAGAAAACTTAAGCATTTAGAATCGGTTGATGAGTTATCTCGCGAGAAATCTTTTTCTCGGCGCAGATGAGCACCAAATATTGGCAGATCCTGTAACAACTACACTGGAGTTAATTTTTTTCTCATATTGATAACGAAATCTATATATAATTATTTTCATAAGGTAGCGATATTTATACTTAGAGCTTGTAAATATACCCCCCATCCCCCAAAAATAAACAGCAACATATTGGAATTTAAAAATGGTGCCGCCCATGAAGAAACCCTTTTCATATACTTTTGAATGACTTTGTGATAATTTTGCTGGTTTAAAGCCTTCTTCCTTTGACAGTAAATCAGATAATGATTCTAGACAATTCATAGATAGGAATGAAAGCAATGGTTGTCTTGAAGTGGCTGATATGTTTCGCTGATATGAAGTCACACATAAACTGTATCTCAAGAGGAAAAAGAGAGATTTTTCGCAAAAAATTACAAAGAAAACAATATCCCTAAAGAGACTAGGTTACTCTCAATAGAGATTTTACACTATTATATCTATAAATATTTAGATCTTAGCAGCAAATTTCTTTTTTAAAAGTGCAGAAACCGAATACCCCCCGTAAGTCATTGATAACACTAGTTTCTGATTTCTCAAGCAAATGTCACATTTATACTCAGTGACGAATTTACATTTTGTGTAGCCTTTTAAGTGACTGCAAAAAAGTTATTTCGTTTTGGTTTAAAATTAGCTTGTCGTTACGGGGAAAAGTTATACCTCTCAAACTGATTCTATGTTCTTACCATTGAGGCGTTTATTAAAAAAAAGTCACTAGGAGGCACGGTGGAGTAATGGATAGTGGCATCGAAGAGCCGAGTTCGAATTCCATTCGAATCCATCACATTCATTTTTGTGTTAATACCCCTGGGAAAGGTATGAATCCTCTTCTTCCCCAGCTATGGGTAAATATCAGGGCAGACGGGGTTCTATAGCCTTGGATGGCAACTGGACTACCGTAGAAAGAAATGGCAACCTACTGCGGGGAAAAATGTACCTCGTCATCGAAAGATACATGATCGCCTAAGCGTGTATCCCGCATGGCACATAACTAACTGACTTCATACTCCTTCCCCCCGCAACAACAACAAATAATAATTATCGCTACTGCTACTATTACTATTATTATTATTAGAAGAATAAACACCTGTGAAAATTTCACGGTATTCCTTTTAATGTTCTGGTGAATCTTAATTCTTAAGTTAATGATTAAATAAACTCATAGATGAATATCTACGGATATTTTATTGTCGTAGAGATAATGAAATAGCCGTAGAAATTCCCCTATCACATCGTTAAATATTTGAGCTTACCAAATTTAACAAAATATTGCAATAACAATCATAATGGTCGTCATTTTAAGAAGTGGGTACAAATGAAAAGATTTGAAATTGATAACTTTTCCATTTCACTGAAATAGCCGTTAAACACTTTTATCTTCCCTTCATTCATTCGTTTTCTCATTGAAACCAAGTAATGTCTTTCTCTATCTTTCAATGCTATCAAAACGGAATAGTCCATTATTTATGAAGTATTGGCATTCGTGCGAACAAACGAATAGATGGACAAACACTACTACTACTACTACTACTACTACTGCTACTACTACAACAACAACAACAACAACAACAACAACAATAACAATAATAATAATAATAATAACAACAACAATAATAATAATAATAATAATAACAATAATAATAATAATAATAATTCCTTGTGCATACTCATTTCTTTCCGGGACCCAACCAGGGACCTAAGGTCAGAAATGGCATCTTGAAATTTTCCACTGAACATTTTTTGAGAAAAAAAAAACAAACAAAATACCATAAGATCACACACATTTTACATAGATAATGCACTTCATAAGGTGTGAGCTGTACTTGTGAGTACAATTTTTTGTATTTAAGGCATGGGCTACCAGGAATCTCTTCAATGAGTCTTATCGGAACATTTTCCAATGAATCTGAGGGCTCCAACTACAACTAGAATTGTTAATGTCCTTATGTGCCACATTTTTGAGATTTCAATTTCAAAGGCCGTGTATTATTATTATTATCATCAAAACCTGTCAACATATCGTGCATAATTGGCTGTAATGCATGTGCCTAGTATACTGTTCTCAGACTGGGTATCATAATATGTATATTGGGCTTTGTACAACAGTGTCACTTTCTTAGCGCGCTGTTCACTCACGCAATAATAATAACTAGAAAGACCCGGAAAATTTCACGGTTTTCCTATTTTCATTTTCTGATGAATCATAATTCCTAATGATTAAATAAGCTCATGGCGAGTTCTACGACAATAAAAAAATAACATCGTTAAATATTTGAACTTAACAAATATTGCAATAACAATCATAAATATGAATGCTGGTCGTTATTTTAAGAATTAAATGTGATAAAAATGAAAAGATTTGAAATTGACAATTTTTTCCATTTCACCGAGACAACCTTTTAAACACTTCTACATCTCCTTCATTCTCCTTGTTTCTTTCTTTCTTTCATTCATTTTCCAACTGAAACCAAGTAGCCTATGTCTTTTGGTTTCTATACAATCAACATAGAATAGTCCGTTATTTATGAAGTATTGGCAGGAGATGTTAAACACTTCTATCTCCCTTTCTCTTCTCTTTCTTTTTTTTCTTTCTTTTTTTTTTCTCGCCAAATCCCTGTTTAACAAACATTTCTCTTAATAACAATTTACAAATATGGTAACTGTATTTTTGGCTGTTGATTTACTCGGTTTCTGTCGTTCGGTACTGTACGTCTGAAAATGACGATTTTTATCGATGTTTTCATCGCATTTCGGTCTTATATATATATATATATATATATATATATATATATATATATATATATATATATATATAAGACCGAGATATATTCCTTTTCATTCACTGTTTATTTTGTGTCTTGTTCCTCTTTTTTTTTCTCGTACGTTTTTATTACTAAAACAGCTGTCTATGTTTGTTTCTTTACTGCATTTTTATTTGATTCAGGGGTCCACTTCATCAGGGGCCATCTTGCATTCGGGCAAGTTGACGCTTTGGCCTGTCCGCCATTGTAGTTGCGCAGGTAAAAAGCTACAAATTCGAATTCTGATTTTTATAACAAGCAGATTTTTAGTTTCAAGAATCAACGCAACACATTCTTCTTACCTATTTTGGCTTTGAGCTGAACAAAGCAATAAATATTTGAACTCGTGACGTTGTGTCTCTAGTCTGCTGATCTAACACTAAGTCATTATCCAAAATTTATAAAACTGACTAGCGCCGGTAATCTGACCGTATTTTTTTTTTCTCGAAGGGATACCTTTTCTGATTCTGGAGGCTTCGTCATAACACAGTTTAACCAACCTTAACCCATCATCAGCCATTGCCGAACTCGCAACAATGCTTGTACTGTTTTTCTTACCGATAAATTTAGTACAGAGGACATTGTTTTTAGCGGGGCTTATATTAGCTTCAGGGTGAAGCGACCGAACTTGTGCAAAATAGCTAACTGGCGCCGACGAGGCGTGATTCATATGGCGTTTTCTGCAATATGGTTCCGAACGTACTAGAGATATTCAGCATATAAATATTGAAGGGATGGTGGCGTAATGGATAGCGGCTCGGATTAAAGAAATCGGAAAGCCGAGTTCGATATTCCAGTCAAGTTCGTTACATTCACTTATGTGCAAACCTTTCGCCCTTGGGAAAGGTAAGAATCTATCTCTTCTCCCAACAGGACAGACTGGATCCTATAGCCTTGAGTGGTAACCGGTTTAGGAGAAGGACAAGTCTGGATTCAAAACCTCCAACTATGGGTTAAATAACCTCACCTATTCGCAGTTAGCCAATTAGAGTACGGCTACACACCTGAAGGCATGGTCAATCAGAGAGGGGTTCCTCCAACAAGAGTGAGAAGTGCCTAGATTTGGGATTTGGAAACTATTGTGCATTTTACTACTAGGAGTTAGTGGTAAGGGAGTTGAAAGTTTTTTTAATGTTTATTTCGTTTTATTTTATTTTTAGAAAGGTTAATTTTTTTTGTTAAGTGAAAAGTTGTCTGTCAAGCTGCAAAAATTTTATGTTCTCGTTACTAAAGGAACTCACTGTATAACGTTATCCTTATAGAATATAACACACACACACACACACTCTCTCTCTCTCTCTCATAACTAATTTTGGACGCTATTCGTTGATTGCTTTATCGAATTTTTTTAATCGTTTCACCACAATCAATGCCACTGGTACGTAGGGGTTCTCGAGAGAGAAGCTGAGAGAAAAGACTGGGTAAAGTGGGGAACGAGGAAAGGATAAAAGCTGAACGGGGTTCAAAAAGATAGAAGATAGCTTGCATTTAAAATTTTGAGGATTGTAGTTATCAGGGAAGCAAGGAGACGGGAGGAAGTTCCACAGGTGGGAAGTGCGAGAAAAGAAACTGTTGGAGTAGAAG